ACATTGTACAGTGGCATAATGTGCACCTCTGCCTACCCGTTCGGGGATAAAAGGCGTGATGTTATGTTATGTATATGTAGTGATCATAACTGCAATTACTTATTTTAACCTTTTGGACCACGTATATTATTTGTTATTACCACTTATTATTATTTGTTACTTATTTGTATTACAGTTTGGGATCATGCTCTAAGTTCGGCAATAAACGCGTCCACTAAAAGTATATTGAACATTTTTTTTATAAAATAAAGAATCAAACGAGATACATCACTTGAATGTTAGCAATCAGCGCTGCCTATGTACGTCTGTACGATGGGTCTTGTAAGTGACGAAGTGACTTTATAAGTCTACATTTTTCATAGCATAATACTTCATTAAAGGGAATAGTTTTACCACCGACACATCACATCAACAGCCTATAAGTGCTCACTGCTGACCAAAGGCCTCTCATACGGAGAAGGTTTGAGCACTGTGTTTGAGCATTAATTACCACGCTTGTTCAATGCAGGTTGGCGATTCCAAACTTATAATTAGAAATTATAAGTCCAGGTTTCCTCACGATGTATTTCTTCACCGTTTGGCAGTGTTCAACATCTCTTTGTGTGATCCACAAAATGTTGTTCCGGGTCTGGGTGTCATGTGTATGTGAACTTATATGTTTGTAAACGCACCCACGACACAGGAGGAAATCCTAGTGTGGGGAAAAGTTAAAAAAAGAACTCGGAAAAAATCACATTGGTACTGTTAGTAGGTTTTGAACCGCACACCCGTGCATCAGAAGAGGGCATAAACCTCTGGCCCACGACGATATTATAATAGTTTTACTACCATTCACTACTACCAAACAACAAAGGCCCAAGAAAATCTTCTAAAAAACACCATCTTCTACATTTTTAATTAACCAAAACAACAACAAAATGTTCCATTCTATTCCTAATTAAAAGGAGAACAAATAAAAACTAGGTACCTTTTGTTTTAACCTAGAAAGCCAATGAAAGGGTCCCATTCAAAAATACGCCTTGGGGTGCCAAGCAATTATTACTGTTATGAACCCAACAATGAAGAGTTAAGAATTAAATTCCCTCAGAATTTCGCAAACTGTGAAACTTCATTGAAAAGAATATGAGTTAATGTTTTTCGAAATTATTATTATTATTAACAATTCACTGGTTCGTTAAGCTGATTTTTGTCTTACGCGACTTACTGAGTTGATTCTGATATAATGATGTTTGGACGACTGACAAAACGTTAAATCCTTTAACCTCTTCAAAGTCAAAGTTTAAATCATTTATTTCAATTAGACCTGGAAGGCACTTTTGAACGTCAATAAAAAATTTAAATATAAAAAAAAATGTCAGTCTTTCGGTGAGTTCTCTAGTGAAGCTATTTGCTCATTCCAAAGTGTAGATCCTATGGCGAAGTGCGAACAAGAAACTCGAAAAACAATTCTTTGTTGCCAAAAATTTTACACAGATACCTACGCAGAATTCCTTCACCCTTGAACTAGTTTACACTGTATTACAAGGTGGTGTCTGCACCCATGACTTTAACAATAACAAGCCAATAAGAACCAGTGGCGTAGTGTGCCTTGGCGGGGCCCCGTATAAAAATTTGTTTGAGAGCCCTTATACAGGGTAAAGATTAAAAATATATATTATGACTTTCGTGAGACATACTAAATGAATTATTGTGTTTTCGGCTTACTCGCGTAGTTATTTGACGAGGGACGCGACTAGTTTTAAGCCATGCTAGAGGCTCATAGTCATGTGCCTCTAGCAACTGTCGCGCTTCTACTGGGTAGCGCGACAGTGCGAGTTCCTAGTAAAATAATGATTACGTGACTAAACCGAAAAACATAACATTAAAAAAAAATTAAGCATAAATTAGTAATAATTTGTCTGAAAACCGGAAAACTTTCCAGGCAACTCTCCAAATTTATCAGGTTATGATTACCTACTTTAGTTGTTCAAAAGTTTCTTCCAACCTTTGATTATTAACTAAAAATCGCGGGTTACTCACGTGAATGTACTGAGAAAAACTCTATAGTTTTCATAGTGGGGCTCTTCATCTTCTTCTTCTTCGTTGGGGGCCCTCTTAATCCGGGGGCCCCGTATAATTGATACGGCATATACGGCGCCAGCTACGCCCCTGATAAGAAGTTAAAGAACACATCAAAAAATGACAAAAATGTGTGCTTTTGCGCGTGTGTGTGTAATAAAACTGTAGAAATCTGAACATTGAAAATCCAAAAAAAAATATATAGGTACTAGGGGGTGTTACTAAATAGACACTGACCTCAAAACTGAGATTAAACAATGTCTGTCTATCTGTCTGTATATTCATGCATCATGCTAAAACAACCGGTCCCATTACGATGAAAGTAATACCTATGTGTTTCAAGTAGCTATACTTTATACCACTAGGAACGCGGGCGAACTCGCTGTCAGAAGGTACTCTATAATAAATTTAACTACACAAAACAAGCCAACACAACAAATAATTCAAACTTGTAATATTTACCCTAAATGCGGTATAATGAAACAGTTAACCATGCGTGTCTCGTTGTGGCGGCAATCATTGCCAAAACACATTCTGGCCAGTTAACAGAGGAACCACAGTACAATACAAACGTTTTGTTGATATTATAAATGAGCTTTTGTGGTTTAAATTTGATATTTCATGACATATGGACTTTCTATCAAAAATAGAGATCGATCTAAAGATTTTGTATTCACCATCAACTATAAATGCCCACTGTTGAGCAAAGCCTCTTTTCACACGGAGAAGGTTTAACCATTAATCACCACGCTTGCTCAATGCGGGTAGGTGAAGTCAAACTCATAATTAAAAATTATAAGCCCAAGCAAGCATTGGTAGATTTCGAAACCACACTCTCAGTCTTTAACCTCCAGGCCACCACGACATCACAAGAGAGATTTTGAATTCAAATCGGTTATTAATTTAAAAAGGGACTACCTGTATAATATTTGACGAAGACTAGGGAGTAGCGCTCTATAAGTTGTAATCTCTGATCCGCCTACTAAGCATAGAATTTATAGAAAATTCTTATGTTCTTCATCTCTAAAATCCCTGAAAATTTTTTGTAGTACCTAACTAATACAGCACAACATTGTTATGTTGTAACATCACGACTTTCATCCCCGAAGGGATAGACAGAGGTGCACATTACGGCACTTAATGCCCCTGTACAATGTAACACCCACTTTTCACTATTTATCTTATGAGTCCCATGTAATAGAGTTGAACCTATTGCCATATACCGGGCACATTTCCAGATTCCGTGCTACATTGAGTTTTTTTTAAAACCCAGTACTACTTATCTAACTAAAATACAGCTAAATATCATTAAACCAGTAACAACTAATGACGTCATAGTATGGTCATATTGGTCATCGAATCGCTTGCCAAACCTTGTTAATTACGTGATCAGGGCCAGCTAATTTGTTCGAGCAATGTACCTCTATATGATGACTGTACCCGATACAGATATATTATAAGGCAGCATAGTCATTCTTAACAGACCTCAAAAAGGAGATTGTCGGTTTGGCCTGTATGTCTGTGCGTGTACGATTAACTCGCAATTGGCTGAACCGCGTAGCGCGTGAAAATGTGAAAATATGTGATTTTGTGAGTGTGTGTGTGAGTATTTTTGTTACTCGGTCGTATCAAAACAGCTGAAGGGACTGGAATGAAAGTTTGAACATGTTTTGTTGTTGTTTTTATGGTCTGGAGTAAGGGCTCGTACACAAAACTGCGATGCGATGTGATGCGAATTCGCAACGTAAAAAAATTACGATACGAACTGCTGCGATGCGATTTCGTGCGACAAGGCGTCTTCCAGGGTGACCATTCCTTCGACGACTGTCAACCGTACTAAACGTATTTAAATTGCAGTCGCATTGCAGTTTTGTGTACGAGCCTTAAAACATAGGCTTTTTTCCCCTGGGAACGTGGGCGAAGCCGTTGGCAGAAGCTAGTTTAATTATATCGAAGGTTCGCGTAAAACAGATGTCGTCTTAACGCAACGATTTAACCTAAAAGTCTTCAAATTGAGGCAAAAGTTTTAACGATAAGCTTTTGATTTCGAAAATAATTAGCAAGATTAGGAATCTCGGGGTTCTACGGAATTAATAAAATTGATTAATCGGCATTTTCTCAATGAAATTACATTTTCAATTAAATTATTCAAGGTTGAATTGTACTGGGTCGTTGGTCGAGTGAGTTGATCAAAAAATCTATCAATATCAACGGTTTTTTTTAATTTTTTTATGTTTGACAAATATATTGACAAATGGTCCAGTTTTTATTATTTACTAGCTACTTCCGCGCGGTTTTACACGCTCTGCTCAGCTTCTATTGGTCGTAGCGTGATGTTTTATAGCCTATAGCCATCCTCGATAAATATGCTATCCAATACAAAAACAATTATTCAAATCAGACTTGTAGTTACGGAGATTAGCGCGTTGAAATAAACGAACAAGAAAACAAATTCTTCCGCTTTATATAATAAAGTATAAGGTTTCTCTTATACCACGAGACTGTGGCAAAAAAGCACACGGCCCACCTGATGGTAAGCTGTTACCGCGGCCTCTGCAACACTTGGGGCATTACATGCGTCTTGCCCACCCTTATGAAACCTACCGGGGCTCCGGCTCGACGTGCAGGAGAAGGAACGGGGTGGTTTTTAGTCAGTAAGAGTCTGACACTCCCTCCCGCCTCACCCAGGCGGGAGCAGTCATTGGATTATTTTCCCCCCTTAAAAAAAACCCTCTTTAAGAACCCCATGTTTTATAAGACCTTGATCAATTATTTGATTTTAAAATGATTAACTATATTATAGTAATTTTTATTAGGTCGCAGTAATTGTTGACCCAAATCGTGCCAATTTTAGGTATAAAATTCAATAAAATTACATAAAAATGTGGGAAAAAAGGACAAAAAATATATCTTTTTATTTCATTGAAGTAACAAAAAGAGGTCTCTCCGGCGGGGAATCGAACCCCGGTCTCCCGCGTGATAGGCGGGGATACTGACCACTATACTACCGAAGACTTACGATAATTGTTTGAAATTTTACTTCTATTGCGATACAAATATTTAACTCTTGATAAGATGTGGCACAATTACAGACTCCGTGCTAATACTGAGATTGTTTTTTAAAACCCAGTAATACTTTGCCCTACCCGAGAATCGAACTCGAGACCTCTTGCCCGACAGTCGCACTTGCGACCACTCGGCCAAAGGCAGGCAAGTTAAAAATTAAACATAATATATTTTGTAAAATGCATCTTGACACCATTTTACTGTACTCTGCACACGAGTCTGTGCCCGTGAATTTTTTTTATTTCCCGAAAAGTCAAAACAAGTGATGAAGTGATTAAATAGGTTGTAAAATCTTTAAAAAGTGTCTAATATTACTCTTTTTAAAACAAAAAATAACACAGCCAGCATAGCCCCGGATCAAACAGAAATAGTTTCTATGTACATATACCATTAAAGTTTAATATTGATTGGTGGTCTTATGTTCTGTGGCTAGCAAAGCAACATGCCTTAAAAAGCGAAGGTTTCAATTCGTGAAGTATTTTGTTAATTGTTATACATGACTAGCGACCCGCCCCGGCTTCGCACGGGTGCAATATGCATGTATTATACATATAAACCTTCCTTAAGAATTACTCTATCTATTAAAAAAAACCGCATCAAAATCCGTTGCGTAGTTTTAAAGATCTAAGCATACATACGGACATACAGCGAAAGCGACTTTGTTTTATACTATGTATT